CCGTCTAGATAGAACTGCCAAAGGGGGTGGAGTTGCAATCTACTGTAGAGATAGCCTGCAGAGCTCTATCATAATATTCAGGTCTGTGCCCAAACAGTTTGAGCTTCTACTTCTAAAAATCCACCTTTCCAGAAATAAGTCTCTCACTGTTGCCGCTTGCTACAGACCCCCCTCAGCCCCCAGCTGTGCCCTGGACACCATATGTGAATTGATTGCCCCCCATTTCTCCTCAGAGTTCGTACTGCTTGGTGACCTAAATTGGGACATGCTTAACACCCCGGCCATCCTACAATCCAAACTAGATGCCCTCAATCTCACACAAATTATAAACGAACCTACCAGGTACAACCCTAAATCCGTAAACATGGGTACCCTCATAGATATCATCCTGACTAACATACCCTCTCAATACACCTCCGCTGTCTTCAACCAGGATCTCAGCGATCACTGCCTTATTGCCTGCGTCCGTAACGGGTCCGCGGTCAAACGACCACCCCTCATCACTGTCAAACGCTCCCTAAAACACTTTAGCGAGCAGGCCTTCCTAATTGACCTGGCCCAGGTATCCTGGATGGATATACATCTCATTCCGTCAGTAGAGGATGCCTGGTTGTTCTTTAAAAGTAATTTCCTCTCAATCTTAAATAAACATGCCCCATTCAAAAAATACAGAACTAAGAACAGATATAGCCCCTGGTTCTCCTCAGACTTGACTGCCCTTGACCAGCACAAAAACATCCTGTGGCGTACTGCATTAGCATCAAATAGCCCCCACGATATGCAACTTTCAGGGAAGTTAGGAACCAATATACACAAGCAGTTAGGAAAGCAAAGGCTAGCCTTTTCAAACAGAAATTTGCATCCTGTAGCACTAACTCCAAAAAGTTTTGGGACACTGTAAAGTCCATGGAGAATAAGAGCACCTCCTCCCAGCTTCCCACTGCACTGAGGCTAGGAAACACTATCACCACCGATAAATCTACAATAATTGAGAATTTCAAAGCATTTTGCTACGGCTGGCCATGCTTTCCACCTGGCTACCACTACCCCGGCCACCAGCTCTGCACCCTCCGCTGCAACTTGCCCATGCCCCCCCCCCCCCCCGCTTCTCCTTCACACAAATTCAGACAGTTGATGTTCTGAAAGAGCTGCAAAATCTGGACCCCTACAAATCATCTGGGCTAGACAATCTGGACCCTTTCTTTCTAAAACTAGCTGCCGAAATTGTCGCAACCCCTATTACCAGCCTGTTCAACCTCTCTTTCGTAACGTCTGAGATTCCCAGAGATTGGAAAGCTGCCGCGGTCATCCCCCTCTTCAAAGGGGGTGACACTCTAGATCCAAAACTGTTACAGACCTATATCCATCCTGCCCTGACTTTCGAAAGTTTTTGAAAGCCAAGTTAACAAACAGATCACCGACCATTTCGAATCCCACCGTACCTTCTCCGCTATGCAATCCGGTTTCCGAGCTGGTCATGGGTGCACCTCAGCCACGCTCAAGGTCCTAAATGATATTATAACCGCGATCGATAATAGACAGTGCTGTGCAGCCGTCTTCATTGACCTGGCCAAGGCTTTCGACTCTGTCAACCACAGCATTTTATTGGCAGACTAAATAGCCTTGGTTTCTCAAATGACTGCCTCGCCTGGTTCACCAACTACTTCTCAGATAGAGTTTAATGTGTCAAATCGGAGGGCCTGTTGTCTGGACCTATGGCAGTCTCTACGGGGGTGCCACAGGGTTCAATTCTTGGGCCGACTCTTTTCTCCGTGTATATCAATGATGTCGCTCTTGCTGCTGTTGACTCTCAGATCCACCTCTACGCAGACATCACCATTTTGTATACATCTGGCCCTTCATTGGACACTGTGTTAACAAACCTCCAAACGAGCTTCAATGCCATACAACACTCCTTCAGTAGCCTCCAAATGCTCTTAAACACTAGTAAAACTAAATGCATGCTCTTCAATCGAACGCTGCTGGCACCCGCCCACCCGACTAGAATCACTACTCTCGACGGGTCTGACCTAGAGTATGTGGACAACTACAAATACCTAGGTGTCTGGTTAGACTGTAAACTCTCCTTCCAGACTCACATTAAGAATCTCCAATCCAAAGTTAAATCTAGAATCGGCTTCCTATTTCGCAACAAAGCCTCCTTCACTCATGCTGCCAAACATGCATGTAAAACTGACTATCCTACCGATCCTTGACTTCGGCGATGTCATTTACAAAATAGCCTCCAACACTCTACTCAGCAAATTGGATGTAGTCTATCACAGTGCCATCCGTTTTGTCACCAAAGCCCCATATACTACCCACCACTGTGACCTGTACGCTCTTGTTGGCTGGTCCTCACTACATATTCGTCGCCAAACCCACTGGCTCCAGGCCAACTATAAATCACTGCTAGGCAAATCCCTGCCTTATCTTAGCTCATTGGTCACCATAGCAACACCCACCCGTAGTATGCGCTCCAGCAGGTATATCTCACTGGTCATCCCCAAAGCCAACACCTCCTTTGGCCGTCATTCCTTCCAGTTCTCTGCTGCCAATGACTGGAACGAATTGCAAAAATCTCTGAAGCTGGAGACTCTTATCTCCCTCACTAACTTTAAGCATCAGTTGTCAGAGCACCTTACCGATCACTGCACCTGTACACAGCCCATCTGTAATTAGCCCACCCAACTACCTCATCCCCATATTGTTATTTATTTTGCTCATTTGCACCCCAGTATCTCTATTTGCACATCATCTCTTGCACATCTATCATTCCAGTGTTAATACTAATTGTAATTATTTTGCACTATAGCCTATTTATTGCCTTACCTCCATAACTTGCTACATTTGCACACACTGTATATATATTTTCTGTTGTATTTTTGACTTTATGTTTTGTTTTACCCCACATGTAACTCTGTGTTGTTTTAATCGCACTGCTTTGCTTTATCTTGGCCAGGTTGCAGTTGTAAAGGAGAACTTGTTGTCAACTGGCTTACCTGGTTAAATAAAGGTGAAAGAAAAAAATACTCTGCCTTCCCTGCTTGGCTGTGTGTGTGTGTGTGTGTGTGTGTGTGTGTGTGTGTGTGTGTGTGTGTGTGTGTGTGTGTGTGTGTGTGTGTGTGTGTGTGTGTGTGTGTGTGTTCAGCTTTAATGTGGTAATGCTAATGAAGCATTCCTCTTGTCAGGTCCGTTTAGGTGTATCATCATGGCCGGAAAACATTTCCGCTTGGACTGTATGGGCACGCCCCTTTAAAAAAAACATTCACATGCACACACGCACACACACACACACACACACACACACGGAGGCAGGAAAGGGTTACACAAAACAAATAACCATGACTGGTTTTGTGGTGAATGCTGTCACTGTGAGTCAGGTTTTAGACAGACAGACAAACAGACAGACAGATATGCAGCACTGAGGCACACGGCTTGTGAATAACTGCATTGATACTGTGAACACAGAAACCCACTGACTCAAATTGACAGATACTATTACGTTGACACCTACAGTGCAAGGGACTGTATGATTGAATCGGAGGGACAGTAGTTATATACTTGAACTGTAATTTTGTGTGGATGAAGATATGTGACATTGAATAGGTTTTCATGGTCTCTTTTTAATTTCAATGGTGGCACAAGTTAGACAAATAGTTTTTAGAATATTATAATCCGTAAATTGTAAAGCAATGCCAGGGGAGTTGTGGTGTAGTAACTGAGAAATAATATCGATGTTTTTGTTCTAGTAGTGCTACAAGGGTGTGTCTTTTTACCTCGGAAAACAAGGGTCTATTCAGGGTGTTAAACGGTGTAACTGTATTTGGAGAACAATCAGATATGAAAGATAAATAACAACAATTATTATCTGGATTATTAAATGAGAAAGAACACTTTTTTTTGTATTGTTCTCATATTACACTTCTTGTCTTGCTTATATGTCATTGGCATCCACTCAAAACGGACTTCTCTCAGTGATTATTATGGATTGTTTATTGTCAAACTATGTCTGTGTCCCAAATGTCATCCCTATATAGAGCACTACTTTTTGCCAGTGCCAATAGTGCTTGCACATTTCTAAATACAGTACATTGGAGGAAAACATTTACAGTTTGGAAAGCAAATGCGACCTGCTGTAAAGAGTCTAATCTGTCCAATTTTTGGCGAACAGCAGCACTGTTTGTCTAAGTAGCTTATCTTGAGATAGGCTATTGCCACGACGAGCGCTTCGGCCATCGCCGGTGAGTAGCCTATGGCTTCATCGTCATCACTGTGTGAGTCAGTGTGCCACTGGAAAGTTTATTTTGTAGCCTACTGTAGCCTATAATATAAATATATATTTCCTCCTAATATTGTACAGTCACTTCATTGGATGTTGTTTGAATTTTTGAAAGACCTACGATTTAAAATAAAAAATAAAAATGGATCAATACAGCAATATGAGATCTGTATGTAAAATATATACATTTAACATTTTGGTCATTTATCAGATGTTCTTATCCAGAGCGACTTACAGTTAGTCCATTCATCTTAAGATCGCTAGGTAAGACAACCACATATCACAGTCAAATATACAGGATTCCAATATTCCATTCCAGCTAAACAATGGATATATAGCGTTTTGCAACAAAACCAATTTTAATACACATCTAAAATCTATGAATAATAAATATGATAACGGTAATATTTTATACACACATGAAGGTACCCATAAGCAATAATTTCTGATGATTGTGAAACATTTCTGATTTTTTGTTTAAAAATGGTTGTATGTAGCGTTTTGGAACAAAACTCTTCAAGTATATTTTCACACATATAGTCCAAACCTTCTATTTGAAGAAGTATCCAACTACTTTTTTTTTTATTTTAATTAAATGAATTAAATTAAATCTACACTATTTTCTAATGAACTGTATCCTAACACAAAAAATCTGCCCATCTGAAATATTTTAGATAAAAACAATTTTGAGGTGAGATACGTTAATAATAATGAGTCGATGACCTGGAGAGAGGCTCAGAGCTACTGCAGGAAACACCACACAGATCTGCCCAGTGTGAAGAACCAGAGCGAGAACAATGTATAACAGAACCTAATGCCTGGCAGTGGTCTGATGTGGATCGGCCTGTTCAGAGACTCCTGGAAGTGAACAGAACAGAGTGACTCATCGTTCAGATACCGGGGTCCCAACCATCCCATTAGTCGCTTACGGAATCAGAACTGTACTGCAGTATGGGAAGGAGTATGGACAGATCATCCTTGTACAGTTGAAGTCGGAAGTTTACATACACTTAGGTTGGAGTCATTAAAACTCATTTTTCAACCACTCCACACATTTCTTGTTAACAAACTATTAGGGGTGTAACGATCCATCTACTACATCGATGTATCGATTTATATTCATATGATCCAACTACATCGATCTGTGCTCGGCGAGTTGGCCTTTTGGACAACATATATCGATCTAACATCGTTTTAAAATGTAATAAATCGATTGTATCGATACTAGGAAATAACCCATTGGATTTAAGCACGTCAGACTTTATATGCAGGGGTGCACATAACTGGTACGCAGATACGCAAGCGCGACAAAAATCAGGAATGCGTAATGCCACTTGTGTTACTACGCGCCTTTGCGTACTTGACCGATCTTCTCATCTAACCTTACACATGACATGTTGCTTGTCAACTACTGTCAGGGATGTCCAAAAAGCAACAGACATTAAGCAGCTTCTTTGGCGTTTTGCCACCTACAAAGAAACGCCAACTGGAGCCAGAGCCGAAGAAAATACTTTTTTCGGAAAAGTGGCTTGAAGCTAACGATGAGCGCACTGAAATGTGGTGCAAGATTTGCCGCTCAAATCCACATCTAGCAGACAAAACAGGTGCATTTTATAAAGGCTCAAAGAATTTCAACCATCCTTTATTTGACAAACATGAAAAGAGCAAGGAGCACACGAATGTGGCGCAAGCCATTGCTAAAAGCTAGCCGAGAATAAATGTCCAGTCGCCCACTTGCCAGATAAGCTGAATGAAGAACAGCGGCAAGCTCTGTTTAATATTTTTCTCTTTCCATAAAGCTAAACACGCACGTCCCATGTCTTCCTATTCTGAGGATGTTCCTTTACTGAATGCTTTTTGATGGATCTGAGGACATCACAAAAACTGAGCAGGAAATAGTTTACATTGTGTCTGTGTCCAGCAACGGAGAGTTTACTTTGGACTTTATTGGACTGATTGAATTGGGTGCTGACCGAACCGCACAGGCCATAACAGACGGACTTGTGAGACTTTTGGTAAGTTTCATAATACCAGATGGTCTGCATGGAGTCATGAAACACTGTTAAAAATATCAAGACTATTGCCAGCCATTAAAATGCAACTGGTTACCAGGTATTTATTTCAGTCACACTGGTTGAATTTTGGCTAAAAGGTTACTGAATCGATTTCAAGTCACTGAATCGTTTCGGATCGTATCGTTCTAAATGAACCAATATCGTCCTTGAATCGTATCGACAACCACGAATCGTGATACAAATCGAATCGTTGTTAAAACGAATCGTTACACCCCTACAAACTATAGTTTTGGCAAGTCGGTTAGGACGTCTACTTTGTGCATGACACAAGTAATTTTTCCAACAATTGTTTACAGACAGATTAATTCACTTATTATTCACTGTATCACAATTCCAGTGGGTCAGAAGTTTACATACACTAAGTTGACTGTGCCTTTAAACAGCTTGGAAAATTCCAGAAAATGATGTCATGGCTTTAGAAGCTTCTGATAGGCTAATTGACATAATTTGAGTCAATTGGAGGTGTACCTGTGGATGTATTTCAAGGCCTACCTTCAAACACAGTGCCTCTTTGCTTGACATCATGGGAAAATCAAAAGAAATCAGCCAAGACCTCAGAAAAACAATTGTAGACCACATGTCTGTTTCATCCTTGGGAGCAATTTCCAAATGCCTGAAGGTACCACGTTCATCTGTACAAACAATTGTACGCAAGTATAAACACCATGGGACCATGCAGCCGTCATACCGCTCAGGAAGGTGACGCATTCTGTCTCCTAGAGATTAACATACTTTGGTGTGAAAAGTGCAAATCAATCCCAGAACAACAGCAAAGGACCTTGTGATGATGATGGAGGAAACAGGTACAAAAGTATCAATATCCACAGTAAAACGAGTCCTATATCGACATAACCTGAAAGGCCGCTCAGCAAGGAAGAAGCCACTGCTCCAAAACAGCCCTAAAAATGCCAGACTACGTACGGTTTGCAACTGCACATGTGGAAGGAAAATTATGTGGATATATTGAAGCAACATCTCAAGACATCAGTCAGGAAGTTAAAGCTTGGTCGCAAATGGGTCTTCCAAATTAACAATGACCCCAAGCATACTTCCAAAGTTGTGGCAAAATGGCTTAAGGACAACAAAGTCAAGGTATTGGAGTGGCCATCACAAAGCCCTGATGTCAATCCTATAGAAAATGTGTGGGCAGAACTGAAAAAGCGTGTGCGAGCAAGGAAGCCTACAAACCTGACTCAGTTACACCAACTCTGTCAGGAGGAATGGGCCCAAATTCACCCAACTTATTGTGGGAAGCTTGTGGAAGGATAATATCCTTCCACAAGCTTCCCACAATAAGTTGGGTGAATTTTGGCCCATTCCTCCTGACAGAGTTGGTGTAACTGAGCAATGCTACCAAATAGTAATTTAGTGTATGTAAACGAAATAAAAGCTGAAAGAAATAATTCTCTACTATTATTCTGACATTTCACATTCTTAAAATAAAGTGGTGATCCTAACTGACCTAAGACAGGGAATGTTTACTATGATTAAATGTCAGGAATTGGGAAAAACTGAGTTTAAATGTATTTGGCTAAGGTGTATGTAAACTTCAGACTTCAACTGTATGTATAGGATTCCCTTTGTTTGTTATAGAGGTGAGTCTTAATTTACTTTATTTAAGTGATCTCTTAAGTATCTTTACTTCTTAAGATATCTTAATCTAAATAGATATTGACTAAATACTCCCGAGTGGCGCAGCGGTCTAAGGCATCTCAGTGCTAGAGGCGTCACTACAGACCCTGGTTAAATTCCAGGCTGTATCACAATCCGGCCGTGATTGGGCGGTGCACAATTGGCCCAGCATCGTCCGGGTTTGGCCGGGGTAGGCCGTCATTGTAAATAAGAATTTGTTCTTAACTGACTTGCCTAGTTAAATAAAGGAAAAAAATAAAAATAAAAAACATAATGGCCTACTATAGTATGGTCAACATTCATAAAATGCATGTGACAAACGCCACAAATGTTTGCTGTCATGGTTACCTCTCATTGTAACAACATGACATGTCTGTGTATTTCTATGCTCCTCCCCCCAGTAAAGAAGACCCAGCAGGTGGTGAGAGTGAGGCTGACCCCAAAGGACCATAACATGGACCTGACTGATCCTGACATGCAGGAGGCCATCTTGCAGCAGGTTAGTCTCACCCTCTTCGTGAAAGAAGCTATTTCTCTATTATAGTTATATTATGAGCAGAGCATAGCATAGCATAGTCATACTGTATTCCGTAACGTTGTGTTCCTCAGATAAAGAAGGAGCTGAAGGAGAAGGGGATGTCTGATGACGTCAAACTGAGATGGAAGGAGCAGCCTGATAGAAAGATCTTCCACAAGGAAGAAAAGAGGGATCCCCAAAATAAGAAAAAGAAAGAGAGAAAACCAGTTATGACAAAGAGAGAACTCTAAACTTGGAAAATTATATTTCTTGATTTCTGGAAAGTTCTCCTATATATTATTTGACCTGATTTTGAGTTTTTTTGGTCTCCAACTATATGGAATTTGCTTATTGTATCAGGAATAATTGATACTATCCTTAAATATATAATCCGTATTTGGTGAAACTGCCTCATACTTTTGTGATATTACAACAACAAAGAACTTACTTCAAACAACAAACACTGTCTTTTCCACACAGACGTCACTGCAGGCGCGATAGAACTCTGTTTCATCAACAAAACAAAAACATTAGCGAAGTCGCTGGGGTGAACAGTGGCGCGGATTAACTAAATGTGGATTCTAGCTTTAAGTAATACATTGATACATTTTTGGGGGGAAGTTTAGAACATATATTAGTAGCGTGTGTAACATTATATGCTGTCGTACTCATTAACAATTAAGAGTTTTGTTTCAATCGGTGATATGATGATATGCTAAATGGTCAACCTTAACCAACACCTAGCAACCTCGTCAAGAGGTTCAGATCTCTTGGCGTAACGGCTAATGTGTTTCGTTTGAACGGCGCTAGACCCTGGTTTGAGTCCTGGTCGCCCCCCCCAGAATTTACTTCAGTATGTAAATTATGTAGGTGAAATATGTATAAATGATATAAATCATGTTTGTAAAGTAGTTATAAAATACATTTCATTTTAACATTGTAACTCTGGGCAGACAAATCCTTCCCACTTCTTCAGTGTGATGATGTCATGGACCCTGATGGTGTTACTGTGAAGGATTGGGCCTCTAACCTGCTCTGTCCTCAGTCTCCCTTTTTGGTTGCAGGTAGAACCCTTCTGGTTCCTGGCAGATCCCTTTTGGGTTCTACATGAAACCCAAAAGGGTTCTATCTGGAACCAAAAAGGGTTCTAGCTGGGAAAAAAAGGGTTATTCTATGGGGACAGCCGAAGAACCATTTTGGAACCATTTTTTCATTCAACACCCCATTTTGGCAGCCTAATGCCTATACTATAGGGTTGAGCTCAGAGGGCTAACGCAGTCTTATGGCAAATACAGATGACTAGGGTTCAACCCCAGGTGGTCACCTTGGTAGCTGTCTTCATCAGTGGCCACTGGTATTTGCTAGGCAAATTGAGGGAGTGCACCCTGCCATAGGGAGAGAGGCTAGTCTATTAGCATGGTGAGCGAGGCTGATGGATGACTTGGAGTCACGGCAGCAGCGGCCATTTTGTTTCACCTGTGGAAATGGAAAGAAACTGTAACGCGTCATTTGGAGGGTTACTTTGCATCTCAGCCCTCTAAAGGACCACTGCAGAGAGGAGAGGAAACCACTGACCGAGACGACACCAGACACACACACCAAACGGGAGATCTCAGTCCACAAACCAGAGAACCAGAGAGAGAGACCAGACCATCTCAACAGGTTCATATCTTTGAATTTGATTTAGATTTTCTGAATCCAAACTGAGTTATCCAAACAGAGTAATCAATGAAAATGGGGGAAAAAAATATTTGTTTGATGCTTGAAATTGTTATTGAACTTTAGCCTTCAACTTAAATATGCTTGTTTTTTACTTATTGATTTCTGACTAAATATGGACCAAAGAAAATATTAGAATGTCTCTATAAATTGATTAATAGATTTAACATTTAATTGAATTCAATGAATTGAAGGGATAGTTTTCCCAATTTTTACACCAATCGTGTAATTGTTTTTTAACCTGAAGAGGAATTATGACACTTGGGTGCTTGAAGTGGGCTGAAATGGGTGCCGGTACAACATTTGAGTGCCAGTACTGTTTATATTTAGGTGCGGTAACAATATTTTTAAGCCAATATTCTATAATGGTGCCGGCACTTAAGGAGTTGAACATTTGAGGTGCCGGAACTCAGTACCATGACCCAAATCAAGCACTGGTTTTACTTAGAAATGTAATAGTATAACAGTGTCGCTTCCTTCCCTCTCCTTGCCCCAAGGAGTTAGTATTAAAACCCTCATACTACCAAACTGGGGTTATTTTGATCCCAGAGCCATAGTTTTTATCATAGCCCAAAGGTGGTTTATTAAATTCTTCAAGATGTTCATGACTTTGTCAATCAACTTGTTCTTAGTACATCAAAATTATTGTTTACCGTTTCTGTATCAATATATTTTTAACAAAATAATTTGGGGTCATTTTGAACCCAGCCAAAAACACCTAATTCCACGCATAGTAATTGCAAAGATAGGACCTTTATTTGAATCTAGGTTTCTCTGGAGACATAATAACAGGTTATCCATACCACCAGAGGGGTGGAGGGGGACCTGTATCAGTGATTTTGACCAGATAGACAGATCATCTGCAGAGTTATAGCTCCCCATGTACTCGCCTAAGATTGTACTTTTCTATACCAAATATAGTATGACTGTACAAAACCAAAACAACCTTATTTGTGTGCATATAATACATCTGCCAATGGTATAAATACTTGATAGAACTGCAATACAGAACTCAGATACACTGAATCTACACAGAGAGCTGTATTGGTGTGTAATATCCAATAAGTATTGTGTTTTGTAACACTAAAACTGGTGGCAACGGAACTTTGCTGGAGGTTTAAACACATTGGTGTAAGGGGTTATGAAACAGATTTAAGGTGTACTGAATCATTCATCCTAAGGTGTTCTGAAACATGACATGGTGTGTTGTAACACAACTTAATCAAGGGTTGTGCAACACCTTGAAAGAGACTGAGCACTAACCCAGAAAAGGTTGAAAACTTTGTTTAGGGTCCTGTGTAGTGCAGAATTAGATGCCCTTTATTTTGGTGTCGTTTCCTCTAAAGCTCCTAAACACTATGATGGTGTTTCAAATCCGGTCTAGTGTAGAATTAGATCCCTTCTTCTGGAGTTTCCAAATGCTGTAAATGGGAGTCCCTCCTCTTATTGTGTGTTCCACGCTCCTACATGGTGTGCTGATAAACTCCACCACTGTAATTCCAAAAGGTCAAATGTACAGTGTTATGCGCAAACAAAGGATATGAGAAAATATTGTTTTGTGAAAATATGAATTAACACGTTTCTCGAGGAAAATAATGAATGAGTACAAAATTACTGTTTGAAGCTTCAAGTGTTTTATCTTTTCTTTTCAAACGATCAACTGACAACAAAATATTAACAGGTCTTTCACATTTTTATATCGATAAAGTAACAGTTCAAAGATCTGTAAGGTATTAATCATGGCATTATATTTCAAGTTCATGGAACAAAATACACCAGTCATCCATTATGTTAATGTCTCTGACCTGAGTCTTCAGACTCAGATGATGGTACATGGAAGGTTGTTCAGATGGATTGAATCACAGTACAGTTGAGTTAGAGGATATCATTGACAGTTGACAGTTCAGTTGGCATTAGTCTGTGATCCTTGTCTTGATTGGCTTTGGTTAGGATTGCCCAGCCTGTGGGTAATGTAGTATATGTGTTTTTCTGCAGGGAGACAGAAATGGCAAATAATAACACGGAATAATGACAGTACATTAATGCATAATTAGGTTATTAACTGCTATAATATTAATAAATTGCAATATTAATATACAATTATTATACATATCCATATGCGAAATGGTGTTGCTATACAAATATAGCAAGAAGAACAATATGAATGTCAAATGAATTGTCAAAAGTGGGATGCAATAACATGTGGCCTGGTAGGCCAAAGGTAAACAAGGCTAATCAGGCAGTGGCTATATAGTGTAGATTACAAACTGGGTGGTTCGAGCCCTGAATGCTGATTGGCTGAAAGCCGTGGTATATCAGACCGTATACCAAGCGGGTGTGACAAAACATTTATTTTTACTGTTCTAATTACATTGGTAACCAGTTTATAATAGCAATAAGACGCATTGCGTCGTGCATAAAAACAGCCGTTAGCTGTGGTATATTGGCCATATACCACACCCCCTCGTGCCTTATTGCTTAAATATAACGTTTGGGCCAAGCGTAAAAAAATATGTAAAGCTCATAAAGCTAGTAGGCAAACAAACCAGCAGTATCACCTAAAAAGCAAGCCTTAATTTGCATAAAAAACAAGTGCATGACATGTGCAAACAATGACATTAACAACTACATGTAGCGTCAAGAAAACTGACCAATGAATCAAAATGGCTGTTTGACTTGTACCACAAGCATAGAGTGACCAATAGCAGCCGAAAGGCTATACAAAATAAATGTTATTGTTTAGTGAATTCCTTTTCTGTTTCCTTCTTCAATGTAATAATATTTTGTACTCATGTTGTCATTGAAGCATACTTTCTTAGATTGTTTTGGAGAGTTTCACCTGACCATTTGATGTGCTCTTTCCTGGCTGAGTTCGTGAAGGACCTGAATACAGGGAAGGCTCCCGCAAACTTGCCTGTTTTTTATACTTGACCATAGAGTTTGCTAGAGGGCACATCAGACATCAGACCTCATGTTACCCTTGCTGTAACTTACATAGCTCTAAACATTTTGATTGTAATTTAATTTATAATTTCATAATGGGCCTGGCGACTGTAGCCTATAATTAGTGTCATTGTCTACCCTAGGAAAAGTCTTCAATTCCCAGTGTCTTCTTTGAAATGTTAATTCAAATATGTTCTTTACACTATAAACCATTGGCATTTCAAAACCATTTGATTGTATGAGAGACAGTCTGCAAAAGCATGCTTTTTGTGTTTTGATGCTGCTTTTTACCAGCCTGGTCTCATAGACTAGACGTAACATAGTATACATAAATCCAGTACACTCAAATTAGTATGATATGTTACGTTTGGTATGATTACTTAAGACAGAAACTTACTTAAGGCAAAAACGAAAAGAGGAGGGGTGGAGGGGTGGGCGTATAATGCGAACGTCTAGCAACCCAAAGTTTGTGTGTTCAAATCTCATCACGGACAACCATTTTAAAAACGACTTACTTCTTTTGAACTACTTTGCAACTGCTTAGCATGCTAGATAGCCCTTCCCCTAACCCTAACCTTAACCCTTTTAGCTAACCCTTCCCTAACCCTAAACTTAACCCTTTAACCTAAATCCTAACCTTAACCCCTTACCCATAGCCCGGCTAACGTTAGCCAGCTAGCTAACGTTATCCAGTTAGCTAATGTTAGCATTAGCCACCTAGCCAATGTTAGCAACAACAAATTGGAATTAACATATCATACAACATGGGTGATGGACTTCCACAAATTAATACATACCATACGAAACGTAACATACAGTGAGGGAAAAAAGTATTTGATCCCCAGCTGATTTTGTACGTTTGCCCACTGACAAAGAAATGATCAGTCTATAATTTTAATGGTAGGTTTATTTGAACAGTGAGAGACATAATAACAACAAAAAAATCAAGAAAAACGCATGTCAAAAATGTTATAAATTGATTTGGATTTTAATGAGGGAAATAAGTATTTGACCCCCTCTCAATCAGAAAGATTTCTGGCTCCCAGGTGTCTTTTATACAGGTAACGAGCTGAGATTAGGAGCACACTCTTAACGGGAGTGCTCCTAATCTAATTTTATTACCTTTATAAAAGACACCTGTCCACAGAAGCAATCAATCAATCAGATTCCAAACTCTCCACCATGGCCAAGACCAAAGACCTCTCCAATGATGTCAGGGACAAGATTGTAGACCTACACAAGGCTGGAATGGGCTACAAGACCATCGCCAAGCAGCTTGGTGAGAAGGTGACAACAGTTGGTGCAATTATTCGCAAATGGAAGAAACACAAAATAACTGTCAATCTCCCTCAGCCTGGGGCTCCATGCAAGATCTCACCTCGTGGAGTTGCAATGATCATAAGAATGGTGAGGAATCAGCCCAGAACTACACGGGAGGATCTTGTCAATGATCTCAAGGCAGCTGGGAACATAGTCACCAAGAAAACAATTGGTAACACACTACGCCGTGAAGGACTGAAATCCTGCAGCACCCGCAAGGTCCCCCTGCTCAAGAAAGCACATATACAGGCCCGTCTGAAGTTTGCCAATGAACATCTGAATGATTCAGAGGAGAACTGGGTGAAAGTGTTGTGGTCAGATGAGACCAATATCAAGCTCTTTGGCATCAACTCAATTCGCTGTGTTTGGAGGAGGAGGAATGCTGCCTATGACCCCAAGAACACCATCCCCACCGTCAAACATGGAGGTGGAAACAGGATGCTTTGGGGGTGTTTTTCTGCTAAGGAGACAGGACAACTTCACTGCATCAAAGGGACGATGGACGGGGCCATGTACCGTCAAATCTTGGGTGAGAACCTCCTTCCCTCAGCCAGGGCATTGAAAATGGGTCGTGGATGGGTATTCCAGCATGACATTGACCCAAAACACACGGCCAAGGCAACAAAGGAGTGGCTCAAGAAGAAGCACATTAAGGTCCTGGAGTGGCCTAGCCAGTCTCCAGACCTTAATCCCATAGAAAATCTGTGGAGGGAGCTGAAGGGTCGAGTTGCCAAACGTCAGCCTCGAAACCTTAATGACTTGGAGAAGATCTGCAAAGAGGAGTGGGACAAAATCCCTCCTGAGATGTGTGCAAACCTGGTGGCCAACTACAAGAAATGTCTGACCTCTGTGATTGCCAACAAGGATTTTGCCACCGAGTACTAAGCCATGTTTTGCAGAGGGGTCAAATACTTATTTCCCTCATTAAAATGCAAATCAATTTATAACATTTTTGACATGCGTTTTTCTGGATTTTGATGTTGTTATTCTGTCTCACACTGTTCAAATAAACCTACCATAAAAATTATAGACTGATCATGTTTTTGTCAGTGGACAAACATACAAAATCAGCAGGGGATCAAATACTTTTTTCCCTCAATGTATCATACTAAATGGAGTGTTGCGAATTTACGTACAGAATAATACAAACTGCTGTGATACCAGGTTGTTTTTAAATGCACTCAAACACCAAAAATGGTTTTCACAAGACCTGTTCTAAATTTTAAAAACACCAATATTCAGATTGAAGAACCACTTTGGGTGTTTCAGAGTACTTCCATTCTGTTTTGAAATACATTCTGTGTATTATAACACTTACGTTGACTTTACATTCAAATACCCTCCAAACACCAGATCTCAACTTAGGTGGACTACTTTTCATGGTTTCACTTCACAATTATGGTATTTTGAGTCTTTCTATTTTAAATGGAAACTTCATATTCATCATCTCCAGCACCACCCCAACATCAACATATGTGAAAATGGTGCGTTTCTAAGTTTTGTAGTAAAAAAGACAGAGGAAGATAAGTGTTTCCAATGACATCATCAACCAATTAGTAGACAATTAGTAGGCAATGCCTACTCATAATTGATTAAAATCACACGATAAACACTGATGATGTAATTGGAAACACTTATCTTCCTCTGTCTTTTTTACTACAATACATAGAAACGGACCATTTTCACATATGTTGATGTTGGAGTGGTGCTGGAGATGATTGTGGAGATGATGAATATGAAGTTGAAAAATAATGAAATTGCAAAATGTCCCTTTAACAGTGTAGTTATTCTAGGGCAAATCTTTAAAAATATTTATTTGAATCCAGGTTTCTTTGGAGATATACATACTGTATCCTCAGAGGGTATCAGTGATTTTGACCAGATGGACAGATCACCTGCAGAAATAAAGCACCTTATTTACTCAACTATGGTTATAACTGGTTATAACTAGTTGCAATCAAAACAGCTCATAAAAGTCTGTCAGTGGTATGAATACTTGGTAGAACTGTAATACAGAAACCAGCTACCCCCTGAATGTACACATAGTGCTGTATTGGTGTGTATTCTATGAAAAATATTTATATAAATACCAGAATTCCTATAATCCCCTCCAATATTCTATATGTACAACTTGTTAAGGTATTTGGTTTGGAGTGAGTTTGAAGATTTGGGCAAGCTTTTTGAAGCATCTTGGGGTCAAGTTGGTAATCCATGTACGTAAAATATGTTGGTAGTATTGAGGGTTAAAATTCTAAGAAAAGCTCATTACCCCTCTCAAGGTATGAAAACAATTTAGATAGAAAACTATTAATCTCAACATTGAAATGTTTTTTCCCCAATCATTTTGGAGCAAATTTCATATGTAACTGGTACATTTTCAAAACGCAGCTGATAACACGTATATTCCATTGTGAAAAGCAGATACTGGTCCTCTGTAGCTCAGCTGGTAGAGCACGGCGCTTGTAACGCCAAGGTAGTGGGTTCGATCCCCGGGACCACCCATACACAAAAAAATAAATAAAAATAAAATAAATGTATGCACGCATGACTGTAAGTCGCTTTGGATAAAAGCGTCTGCTAAATGTCTTATTATTATTATTATTATACTTAGATCTGAATATGTATTGAAAGTGAGAGTGATTTGGTTCAGTGGACAAGAGACTTTGTGAATTTTGCTGTACTCTGTCAATAGAAAATGTGTTTAAAGTTTTGAAACATAAAGGATTTTGATGGTCTGTTTATATTTTTGTGCTAAGAGTTGTGACAATTGTGCACATACTTGCACCAAAGCTATTGAATTAAAAAACTGTTTATAAGTTGTAAGTCCCTGTTAGCAACCACTAATGTAAGAAATAGATGCAATATCTATAATAAATATATGTATACTATAACATTACTTATTTTAATTATATTTTATTTAATAATCCCTTTTATGTTCCATTAGAGGAAACACTGTCAGCCAGACGATGGGGAGAATCATTCTCTTACTGTTTCTAACAGGTCAGTACAGTAAATTAATAGTGTGTGTGTGTGTGTGTGTGTGTGTGTGTAAAGCATATGTCTGTGTGTGTAAATTATATTTCTGTGTTAGCTCTGGGTGGAGGTTTGTAGTCATGTAAACAATAGATAATCATGCACTAAATGATAGTTTTGTTCACAGGGCTGTTTTTATCCTGTCCATGCCTCCCTTATCAGTACTACTTTGTGAACATGGGCAAGAACTGGACTGAAGCACAAGCCTACTGCAGAGATAAGTACACTGACATGGCCACCATAGACAACATGGAGGATATGAACAGATTGTTGAACACAGAACATTTTGGTGATTACAGTGATACTGTCTGGATAGGGCTGTATGATGATGTTAACAGCTGGAGGTGGTCCCTGGAAGACAGCGACTACTACAGTAAGGGTGGGGCTGAGTTTAGAAACTGGCAGAATGGACAACCTGATAATGTGAACAGTAATGAACACTGTGTGGTCATGACTGAGGGTGGGGAGTGGCAGGATGAAGATTGCAACAAGATACTTCCCTTCATCTGCTACACCTCCATCGGTGAGAAAGGTGTTTTTCATTTCTGTATTTCCACTTTTTTTGATTTTCAACTATAATATAATACTGAATACTCAAACATGCATACTATGTACACTGATGGGCACAACTACAAGTATAGCCTCAGTGTAGTCAAGTTAAATGTATTTGAAGTCTAAACTGTAGATTTGTAAGAAAATACCGGTAACACTTCATTTTAAGGGGTCCTTATTACAGTGTAATTACATGTGTAATAACACTGCAACAGGTATTGTAGTTAATTGTAATCATTCCTAGTTACACTGTCATAACAACATGTAACTGGTGGTATTGGCAGTCTGTAATTTCAGAGGTGTAACAACAAATGCTTGTTACCATGCTTGTTTCCACTGAATTCACCAATTTAGGGTTTTGTTTATTCTCAGCTGCATCCAATTCAGTAACAACAGTCACAAGGTTATAATCTCTCGTGGACAGATGCGCTGGATGTCCAAGATGAAAAAGATTGGAGGCTCAATAGGCTCTAATAACTCCCAAAAGTGCATCATCTGGGTTAACTTGGTTGAGTTTCCAAAAACAGATCAGATATAGGACAACTGCACTGACTGGGGTCTACCCAGATTATGTATATTTTTTAAAGTACTTATAATGAATGTGTATGTTGCCCATTATGACAACCTGAACCTCCTTGCCATCCAAGTGGGAGGATAAACCTACAAGTACAACACAGAGGACATATAATATCTGCACAAGTACAATGTAATTACTACATGTTACACAGGATTTAGCAAGTTAAAATTAAGTGTATCTTGAAGGGTACTTACTTGTAATTAATGAGTACATATAAAATACATTACCCATCCTAACAGCTTCAGGAAGCGACATGCAAGTGGGAGGATAAACACACTAGTACACCACAGAGTACATGTAATATCAAATCAAATTGTATTTGTCACATGCTTTGTAATACAACAAGCGTAGACTAACAGTGAAACATTTACCTGCCTAAGTACAATGTCATTCTTAGGTGTTACACAAGATTTAGCTAGTTAAAATGAAGTGTATATTCAGGAGTAGTTAATTATTGTGTATCTACATAGTACGCTACCTACATACAGTGCCTTCAGAAAGTATTCAGACCCCTTGACTTTTTCCACATTTTGTTATGTTACAGCCTTATTCTAAAATTGATTAAATTATGTTTTTTCCTCATTAATCTACACACAATACCCCATAATGACAAAGCGAAGACAGGTTTTTAGAAATGTTTGCAAATGTTAAATTTTTTTAAACAGGAATACCTTATTTTCATAAGTATTCAGAACCTTTGCTATGAGACTTGAAATTGAGCTCAGGTACATGTTTCCATTGGTCATCCTTGAGAGGTTTCTACAACTTGATTGGAGTCCACCTATGGTAAATTCAATTGATTGAACATGATTTGGAAAGGCACACACCTATCTATATAAGGTCCCACAGTTGACAGTGCATTTCAGAGCAAAAACCAAGCCATGAGGTCGAGGGAATTGTATGTTGAGCTCCGAGACAGGATTCTGTCGAGGCACAGATCTGGGGAAGGGTACCAAAACATTTCTACAGCATTGAAGGTCCCCAAGAATACAGTCGCCTCCATCATTCTTAAATGGAAGAAGTTTGGAACCACCAAGAGTCTTCCTAGAGCTGCCCGCCTCCCTGACCAAGGCCCTTCTCCCCCGATTGCTCAATTTGGCCGGGCCGCCAGCTCTAGGAAGTCTTGGTGGTTCCAAACTTCTTCCATTTAAGAATGATGGAGGCGACTGTATTCTTGGGGACCTTCAATGCTGTAGAAATGTTTTGGTACCCTTCCCCAGATCTGTGCCTCGACAGAATCCTGTCTCGGAGCTCAACATACAATTCCCTCGACCTCATGGCTTGGTTTTTGCTCTGAAATGCACTGACAACTGTGGGACTTATATAGAAAGGTGTATTCCTTTCCAAATTATGTCCAATCAATTGATTTTACCACAGCTGGACTCCAATCAAGTTGTAGAAACATCTCAAGGATGATCAATGGAAACAGGATGCACCTGAGGTCAATTTTTTGTCTCATAGCAAAGGGTCTGAATACTTATGTAAATAAGGTATTTCTGTTTTTTATTTTTAATACATGTGTAAAAATCTCTAAAAACCTGTTTTCACTTTGTCATTATGGGGTATTCTGTGTAAATTGGTGATGATTATTTTTTTATAAAAATCAATTTTAGAATAAGGCTGTAACGTAACAAAATGTGGAAAAGGTCAAGGGGTCTGAACACTTTCCGAAGGCACTGTACATGGGGGATTGGAAATTATGCAGACAATTATATTGATAGAAGTCAATATTAAAGCTGATCTGCCCCCTAAAAATCATTGCAGCATGTAAAACGACCTTAAATCTCTAACAAAATAATACAGATTTGTATTGTTGGATAATTTTATTAATTAGAATAAACAAAGACATAGGCCTTTATGATATCAATAACATAAAATAGCTATTTTAGTGGTGACTGAAATCTGCAGGCTATAGTTCGTTTTTCTCCCCTTTTTAACATTACAAGTAGCAGGAAGTCGACAACGTCTGTATCTTAATCTGTTTCTTGTAAGCATTTTCCCATCCTGGAATCTGAGATCTTGTGGGAATCTGTTGTAGAGAAGAAGAATTTACTACAATTGTGCAAAGTCACTCTACAATTAGTCTACAAGCTAAGCTAGCAATCTATCATCAGAGACATAGAACTCTTCCTCCAATATCTCTACTATTATTAATGTCATGATTTCTATCATTTAAGGTTTAGGTCTATAGCTAGGCCTAGCTACCTAGTTGTTGTGTTATCCATCTAGTATTATACTAATAATGGTGCTTGCTAACATTAATAAACTAGCTAGTGTTTACATTGAAAAGGAACTACTCATAGGTGTGTTGACACAACTAGCTAGCTAACGTTAACATGCTGGGTGTGTCTCACGTAATAGCATTGGGTACGGATACCCTGAGAACCAGGTTCAGGGAAGATAAGACCATCGAGTCCAGCTAGCTAGCTATTTGCCAGCTTTAGGTAGCTAGTTATCTAACGTTAGCTGTCAAGGAATGTAAAGTATATTCTGTGGATGTTAACTAAGTTGGAGAGCTAGCTGGCTAACCAAGTTTGTAGGCCTACAAACACGGAAGCTAACATTTGCTTGCTAGCTAACAAGTTTTTGGTATTCTGCTGGATGATTTAGCATATGTAACGTTAGTTGGCTAGCTAGCGTTTGCCAGCTAGCAAGCTATCTTTAGCTAGCTAGCCAACATTAGGCTAGCTAGCTGGCAAGTGCTAGCTAGCTAACTGCATAGCGCTATGCTAAATTGTCCAGCACAATTTCTGTATCCAAAAAGCAAAACAAATTGCATGGAAAACCTGCCTTCTCTATCCTGTGTGGACGTTTTTGTCTCCTCTACAACACTTTGTTTCTTTCCCGGCAATCTCATGTCTTTCCCGGCAATCTCATGTCTGGATTTTGCACACAACCTTCTTCTCGATCCCGGTTCTTTGCGCACTGTCACTATGACTCAATGGGCTTGTTCCAACATTGCAGCCGACAGTGTAGGCGACTGCCGACTGACTGATCTACAAAGAACCTTACATCATAAATAACTACTCATTATTATTTGTAGACCAGTCAGTCAGTCAGTCACAATTTTCCCATGATACATTACAGTTTTGATCCTCTTGAAAACGAGCATTGCCAATACAAAGTGTGGGCACGTTCGAGGTCGTCCCTGTTTCGAGCACGTTGCGCAGATGGGCAGATCTTGACGTGGTGCCTTAATTAATTCCTGGGATAAATAAATAAGTGCACAAATACATCCCATCCAAAGGTGAGAATGTTCTTCAACCGTGAAACCCTTTCAAGATTACAAGATGAAATAAGAGGTTGTCTTATGACCATTTATAGAACATTCTTAATAGGCTTACAATTTTGCAAGCACTGAATGATTATCTCACAATTTTTGCCATAACAGTTTATTAATGTGTTACATTTTAGTAGACGCTCTCATCGCTCTTTGATTAATGCTTAATATAGTAATTTGCCTGTTGTCAAGCCCCGCCCTCCTTAGCTACTGTTGCTTTCCAGGTCAAATGCAATGTGAGAAGATTTAACAATTTAAATATATATATATATATATATATATATGTAAGCCCCCTGTTTTTGCCATAGCACTCATAAGCTTCCATGCATTTCCAACGAGACCTGGGCCTGGGCATCAGACTCCAGAGCCATTTATAGTAGATTTGTGTCAATGAGGTGGTTGGTTTTCAATTGGATAATACTTTAACATGGTTTGTGCAGGCTGACAAATGGTGTGTTCGGTTCGGATGCTATCGGAAACTTAAACATTTGTAACTAGCATGGTAACAAACATTTATTGTTACACCTCTGTAATACAGACTGCAATTACCATCAGTTACATGTTGTTAGTGCAGTGTAACTATGAATTAGTACAATTAATTACAATACTTGTTACAGTGTAATTACATTTGTAATTACACTGTAATAAGGACCCTTTCAAATGAAGTGTTACCAAAATACCCACCCATCGTGATTTCAAAATCCATCCACTATTTGCAGGTGAGACAACAAACAGGCTGATATTTATCTTTGTGAATGAATCAATAAAAACGTTCAGTGAAGCTCAGAGCTACTGCAGAGGGCACCACACAGACCTGGCCAGTACCTCTCCTGTAGCCCTTATTTATACATTCATAAAGCCTTTATAACAGCTACATAAGACATTATAACATCAGTCATAGGCAGTCATAAATATTTAAAGTAACAGTAGCCACCACTAACAAATTAATTTTATATTTTCTATGGTATTTCCAGGTAAGAATAACAGCCATGTTTTCATTGAGAGTAAGAAGAACTGGTCTGAAGCTCAGAGTTACTGCAGAGAGTCCCACACAGACCTGGCCAGTGTGAGGAACCAGACTGAGAACCAGGAGATACAGAAGATGGTGTCTGAGGGTAGTACAGTGTGGATCGGCTTGTTCAGAGACTCCTGGAAGTGGTCGGACGGGAGTGCCTCCTCCTTCAGATACTGGTGGCCTGAACAACCCAACAATAACAACGGACTGAATCAGTCTTGTTGTGCTGCAGTGTACAAAAAAGAACAGACCGACAGATGGTTTGATTGGAACTGTAACGACATAAAACCCTTTGTTTGCTACAGTGGTGAGTTAGTTTAAACTCCTCTACTAAAGAAGTGTTTCCCAGTCCTGGCCCTGGGGACCCAAAGGGGTGCACATTCATTCATTAGTTTAATCAAGCGTGTTAGTGCTCGGGCAAAAACAAAAAATTTGGGAAACAGCCAAGATTGGGAAACACTGCGCTAACGTGAATAACAGCTGGATTTCTTGTAAAAACAAAACAAAAAAACTTGAATGTTTGGGTCTACACTTTCCCTTCACTTTACTTTGTAACATGCACTGCGATCAACATGACAAAAGTTTTATCCACACATCTGTGTATTTCTGTGCTCCTCCCCCCAGTGAAGACGACACAGCAGGTGGTGAGAGTGAGGCTGACCCCAAAGGACCAGAACATGGACCTGACTGATCCTGTTGTGCAGGAGGCCATCTTGCAGCAGGTGAGTCTCACGTCATGCCAATTAGCTCCATAATGCACAGGGGTGGCAGGTAGCCTCGAGTTTAGAGCGTTGGACCAGTAACCGAAAGCCCTAATTGCTCCAGTGGTGTTGTACAATGGTTAACCTGCCTGTGACCCCACTCCTTGCAGGTGTCTCAGGGGGAATTGGGATATGCAGGAAACACATTTCCATTACACACATGTGCGTAACAGGACAATTATAAGCACCCCCCCAAAAAAGTATTAAGTATATTGCTTCATTATATTTGTCTAGCCCGGCATATTATCCTAAAGACTCATTATGTTCAACAGATAAAGAAGGAGCTGAGGGAGAAGGGGATGTCTGATGACGTCAAACTGAGATGGAAGGAGCAGCCTGATAGAAAGATATTTCACAAGGAAGAAAAAAGGGATCCCCAGAAGAAGGAGAGGAACCCAGTTATGACAAAGAGAGAATTCTAAATTTGGGAAATTATATTTCTTGATTTGTGGAAAGGACTCCTATATATATATTTGTTGTACGTCCAACTATATGGAATTACAATTATTGGTTGGTACATACATTTTTAGACTTAAATTAATGATATATAGCCATTGATTCTTGAAGAATATAACTCATGTGCCTCTTGAGCTTAGTTCAACTGTTTTACCCCATCAGAACCCAAAATATAAGCTGGTTTTACTCCATTGTTTGTAAACTACGTCATTTTAAACAAACACTTTCATTTCACCTTTCATTTCGATCACATGGATGGTCAGACCTTGCATCCATAGCTCCGTCAATGAATTTGAGAGTGGTTCCCCAGCCTCAGCTGTTTACCAAAAAAGTGGCGGTGTATCGACTTTGTTGTTTTTTGAATCTCAGATTGCCCTTTAGAAGATTCAAGTTTTGTTCTTCAGAAGAAATTATCCAAATATATCATATCATCGTCACTTTTCCAGTAGAATACTGGAATGCCTTTGTCTTTTGAGAGCCTTATTTTACTCTTCAGTCACCTCTTGATATCCAATGCTTTGGGACGGTCGCTTACAGAACAGGACTTAAGGACTGGAAAATTGTAGTACACTTAAACAGAGCTGGCACTTGTCCAAAGTGCTGTCAGGAGTTGGCTGTATAAGGGATAATCAACGAGGGGCTATGCGTTCTATCGAAAATAGTGCAGAACGTGGAAGGTGTGTGCCACAACGTCCAAAAGAGTGGCACTAACCTTCCGAGGAGTTGAATTATTTTCCATTGAATGCATAGAGCCCAAAGTTTATTATAGCACTTATACCACGGCTATAATTTAACACAACATACATTTTTTGATAGAAAATGTGTTCAACAGCCACTGACATTTAGATAGTGGCTACAGTAGTTGCCTTGGTAACCTAACAAACTGACTTGCTAGCTAACCAAACCATCAGTCCTCCTAAATACTAGCTAGCTAACTATTTATTTAAATCGAATTCAACAATGCCAATAATAATATTTTCAATATTACTTTTGAAAGAGCAGCCCAAACAAAGAATGTAAGCATGTTTGACAACATAGCCGTTGGTTATTGCCATGCATTATTTAAGCAATAAGGCCTGAGGGCGTGTGGTATATGGCCAAATGTTTTGTTATACCCATCAGCATTCAGGGATAGAACCACTCAGTTTATAAAGGGAATTATAAACTTGGTGGTTCGAGCACTGAATGCTGATTGGCTGACAGCCGTATACCATTTATTTTTACTACTAATTACATTGGTAACCAGTTTATATTAGCAATAAGGCACCTCAGGGGTTTGTGATATATGGGCAATATACCACGGCTAAGGGCTGTATCCAGGCACTCTGCGTTGCGACGTGCATAAGAACAGCCCTTAGCCGTGGTATTGGCCATATACCACACCTCCTCGGGCATTATTACTTAATTATACCAGCGCATTATTGAACACTTGTATCTGATTGGCTTGAAGGGCATTCTAGAGCGTGCATTATTTCCCTATTACGCACAGTATATTTGCACGGTAGAATTCAATGGCTATAGTTAATTCTTACATGTTCTATGTTTGTGCTGCTTTTGAAAGCAAAAGTCGAATTGAAAACATTCGCATTGTTGAATTCGATTTGGTTACCTAAACTAGCAAGTCTATTTGGTTACCACGGCAGCTACTGTAGCTATCTAGTAAACTTGCTAGCTACTTCAGTGGAGGTTGAAAACATTTCTACCAGCAAATGAACACATTTCTAGAGGAAAATGTGTTACATTTTAGCCATGGTATTAAAGGGATAAACTCGGGGCTCTATGTGTTCTCTGGAAAATAATGCAACTCTGTAGATGGTCAGCTCCACTCAGCGTGTCGTGGTACACACCTTCCACGTCTTTCATTCTTTTCCATTGAACGCATATCCCCTCGTTGATTATCCCTTACATAATGCACACTCCAGAATGCCCTTCAAGCAAATCAAAAAGTACTTTTCAACAATGCCGTGGTATATACGTATTTATAAACTGGATGGTTTGAGCCATGAATGCTGATTGGCTGACAGCCGTGGTATATCAGACCAAATACCACCGGTATGACAAAACATTTATTTGTATTGCTCTAATTACATTGGTAACCAGTTTATAATAGCAATACGGCACCTCTGGGGTATGTGGTGTATGGCCAATATACCACACCCCCTCGTGCCTTATTGCTTAATTATACAACGGGTGGGTCTAATCCTGAATACTAATTGGTTAAAACCGCATTCCAGCCAGTGTCTATTCCACAAGTTACCTCCGGCTAAATCTAAAAGAAATGTGAGATAATGATTAGATGCTTTGTATAGTGGAGATGAAGTTTATAAAGTGCCTGGCTGGGTTGATGAGACAGTGGATTGTGCAGTCAGATGGAAAAGGGTAAGCAGGCTTTTTAACATCATAGACTAACATTCAGTTTTCGACAGTGGAGATTTGTATAAACCTTGCTGTCTGTCTCTCCAACATTTGTAACATTGTTTCAATATTCAAATTAGATCTCCAGATGTCCCATAGTAATGAACGTGTCGGGAGTCGGTATGAGACAGACAGGCAGGCAGCTTTTCTCAACCAGTCGGAATCAGCATAATTTTTATGGATATATACAAAGAACTATCAACAGAAAACAGGTCAAATGAAATGAAGTGCAGCAAGTTTGCTGTCTTTCTAGCTTCAGTTTGAAGTGATTGTGTTAGCTGTGTTGTTGGCTAGCTCCTCTGAACAAGTGTCCTGACGAGTGAGCACATTTTCTATGCCAGGTGAAATCCAAATAAATGTCACTAGAAAACAGCTTAAACAAACGCAAATGCAGCTACTTTGCTGTTATTCTGGCTATTTTGACGTGACTGTAAGTTAGCCGTAGTTGGCTAGCTAGCAAGTAAGGGTTATGAACATTGCCAGCCAGTATGGGAATGGAACATTTAGAACGAACGACTGGTTCGCGTCCATAGATACAGAACAAAAAGACTGAACTACTGGGTCACCTCTCTGGCAACCGAACCAATAGAACGAACGACCAGCCGGCTTGGGTAGCAACCCTAGATTTGTGTCGGGACTATATCTTGTGGAAGGATGAAATAGTATGAATAAATTAATCAAAATAACGTTTTTAAATAAAATATGTCAATCATTATTTGAATATGTTGGTAACTCGAAGCCGGTGTTGGTCGACTTTGTCTCGGGCCTAACAACACCCATGCCAATATATCCTCCAAACACTGGCTTCTCGGGCCTTATCACTTAAGCGTAACATGTGTATACGTCTATGTATATGTATGGGTAACATGTGTGACTTTTTATTCATATACTTGTTTGCAGTGATTAGATTTTGATGTTGTGTGTGACCATTTTATAAAAAATTATTAGTAGAAATGTTTTACATTTATTAGTAGGGTGTGCTAGCTACAGTACATCATATGCTGTCATACTCATTAAAAACAATTTTGTTTCAGTTGATGATGGATCAGATCCAAATTGAGATACTAGTATGATAAATGTTCATATACTCTATTGTAGCAACCTTAACCAATACCTAACGACCTCGTCAAGGGGTTCGTACTTCTGGACGTAACGGCTAAGGTGTTGGGTTGACAGGCGTCTCTGATGGATCATTTGGATTCAAGGTGGGGGTGTTTGTGGATTATGAGGAAGGGTTGGTGTCCTTTTAAGAGGTGGAGGCCAAGGCTCATATCTATTCTTTCACTGGGTGCTCCTTCAATAAAAACCTCTATCTGTTCCTCAGACTTAGTGACGATGGTAAAAACTCAACCCCATTTGTCATCTCCCCTGTCAATCATGAAGGGTTGGTTTCTGATTTGCCCCTTTCAATTCCTTAGTCCCAGTGGGTGTGCTCGTTTTGCATTGCCCTGTGCCCTGGGTGGGCGGAGATTTTACTTCAGGACCAATGGAATGGTCTCAATTTAGCCCCATTGGTCATCTCCCCTGTCAACCATGACCAAAGAAAGGTTTCTGATTTGTCAATAGTAAATAAGTTTCTGTTGAGTGTGAGAACAAATCAAATATACCTTGTGATAAAAGATGAACGATTAATTAACTTAAATCTTTTGATTGATAATGCACTTAATCTTGACTCATTAAGCAAGAACTGCCTCTGATAAAAGTGTGCAGCAATATCTTTCATATTACTTATGTATTGTAATATTAAAATACTAAATGTGAATAAACCTTTGGCAATATCGTGTCTATGTGCTTATTTAATGTAAGGTCACGCCTTTCCTTCCATTTGTGTGTAACATAGGGGTTTCCATCCACCCAGAGCCAGAGATTCCATTTGTTTTGCATAGACCTACTGGTGCTGAGAGCTCAGCTGCATTCAGAGACCTCAGAGGAGATGGTTTATTCCCTTTGTGGTGCACTACTTTTGACCAGGGCTCTACTGTAGGGAACAGGGAGACATTTCAGACTCAAGCATTTCTAAATGAAACATGGATGTTACCACATACTTGTTTAAAGGGGCAATCTGGGATTCAAACAACAACAAACACTTGTTTCATGTCAAATTCAAAGGCCTCAAATTACAGATGATAGTATTATTACGTCTTATCAGTCAGTGAACCACGCAAGGAATGCTTAACAAATGCTGCATCCTCAGGTCCCAATTACGATATTTATATATGCTTCAATTCTAATACTATGTCATTATAAGCTAGTGGACTCTACAACTCTAAAGGCCCACTGAAGAAGAGCTACTTTATGCTGAAGGTCAGGTTCAACTTGTGTACTATTGCCTGGAGAATATGTCTTAGAAACAGCATGTTAACTAAATTAGGGAAAACTAACTTATTTGCTTGACAAAGTTATTTGTTTAAAATCAAATCAAATCAAATGGTATTTGTCAGATGTTATTGTTGGTGTAGCGAAATGCTTGTGCTTCTAGCTCCGACAGTGCAGTAATATCTAACAAGTAATATCTAACAATTTCACAACATATACCCAATACACACAAATC